TTCACACAATAATTTTAGTGGGGTGTTGCCAAATTTTGGGGAATCAAAGTTTGGTGTGGAGGTTTTTGAGGGGAACAATCCTACTCTTTGTGGGCATCCTTTAGGGCCTTGTAGTGGAAGCTCTGGTTTGAGTCCTGGTGCAATTGATGGTATTGTTATTGGTTTGATGAGTGCAATGGTGGTTGTGGTGTCATTGTTGATTGGGTATTTTCAAGGGAAAAAGAGAAAACATGCAGATGAAGAAGAGGATGAATTTGAGGAAGTTGAAGATGAGGAAACTGGCGATGGCGGTGGTGGTGAGGGGAAGTTAATCTTGTTTCAAGGGGGTGAGCATCTGACACTGGAGGATGTGCTGAATGCGACGGGGCAAGTGATGGAGAAGACTAGTTATGGGACTATTTATAAGGCAAAATTAGCTGATGGTGGAACCATTGCTTTGAGGTTGTTGAGGGAAGGCAGTTGTAAGGATGGAAGTTCATGTTTATCTGTGATTAAACATCTGGGAAAAGTTAGACATGAGAATTTGATTCCTTTGAGAGCCTTCTATCAAGGGAAGAGAGGGGAGAAGCTTCTCATTTACGATTATCTCCCCAACAGAAATCTTCATGAACTCTTACATGGTAAATTCTTATCTTCTTTTATGCTTTCATGCTTACTCTTTCAAGTTCTACTAATGAAATCAACGCAAGTTTACTCAGTCTCATGTAGATGAATATTTCTGATTATGATGAGTTGAAATTCTTGTATTAGTCATTGCTTCATGTGTGTGGAGCAATATAAAGGATTAATGGTTTTAAACCACAGAAGTTGCAGCCTCTTCCTCAAGGTTTGGTCGTAAGTGGAGTATTAGTGCATAATTACATCAATGAAAACAACCATGAAATTATAAATTTGATTGAATCAACATCTTAAGAGTAACTGAATTAGTAATCTAAAGAACCGAATAGAGATAAGAAGTCACAGGAATAGCGAGCATGTTTGACTTATTCTGAACTATAGATAAGTTAATCCTACCTATATCCTCTCCTGTGCTTAATCTTGCATTTCTTGTGTACTCTTGCATACACGAACTACCATGAGTACCTATTTTGCCAACAAAGAAGAAGTAGCCTCATTATATTTGCTTACTCATCCAACAAAAAAAAATAGCTCATTATCTCTAGACTATGGATATCAGTATTAGATGCCTAGGTCAACCATTCATCTATTATTTTACTTTCAAGAACTATGTAGCCCTAGATGAACTGATCATAGCTCATTTCCCAGCATTTAAGCTTGGACAGGTAAGCTTCACTCATTCTTTTACAAGCTTCATGCATGCCTAAGATTTTGTGGCTGTTTTATCGTTCTTTCAACCTTGATTTGCTATGCAAGTTTTGTGCCATCACTCTGTCTTAAAGAATATCCATCAGGCATAGGAAGAACTATTAGGAAATTGTGGTAAATGAAGGTATAAGTGACCGCATCTTCAGTCACTTTGTACCAGTAATCTTCCGTCTTTAAGAACAACTAGTATTACTCTTTTATCAGAGAAAGCGATATGTTGATTTTGGCTCTAGGCAATCCCTGTAAAGTGGATTCGGATAGTATTAAATTATTTAAATCACAGCATTTGACTTTCAGACCTAATATAGTCACACTTATTGTGGCTGTTTCTGTATCAAATTTGATTATGATATTTCCTGATTGTGTTCAGAATCAAGAGTTGGGAAGCCAGTATTGAATTGGGCTAGGCGACACAAAATAGCATTGGGCATAGCCAGAGGACTAGCACACCTTCATGGTCTGGAAACACCCATTACCCATGGGAATGTTAGGTCAAAGAATGTTCTTGTCGATGAATTCTTCGTTGCCAGGCTTACTGAATTTGGACTTGACAAGATAATGATCCCAGCTGTAGCTGATGAAATCATAGCACTCGCAAAAGCTGATGGTTACAAGCCACCTGAGCTGCAAAGAATGAAGAAGTGCAATTCGAGAACTGATGTTTACGCTTTTGGAATCCTACTACTGGAGATTCTGCTAGGAAAGAAGCCTGGAAAGAATGGAAGAAATGGCGACAATGTTGATTTGCCTGCACTAGTGAAAGTAGCCGTTTTGGAGGAAACAACAATGGAGGTATTCGACGTGGAACTTCTGAAGGGAATTAGGAATCCAATGGAAGAAGGTTTGGTACAAGCCTTGAGACTTGCGATGGGTTGTTGTGCTCCTGTGGCTACCGTTAGACCGTCGATGGAAGAAGTCGTACGGCAGTTGGAGGAGAACAGACCGAGAAACCGGTCTGCTTTGTACAGCCCTGCTGAAACTAGGAGTGGAAGTGGTACTCCCTTTTAAAGCTCATGTTGTGATTTTAGTAATGAGTATTGTTTCATATTATGCCTCTTTTTTTCTCCTAAAGGAAAGAGGGCTAAATGGTTATAGCTTTCTTACTCTTTCAACTATTTATCTTTGGCTTTGCATTGTTAGGGAAAATCTTTCCATAGACAAATTGACAATAGACAATATGTCACGTTAGACAGCAAATTGGATATTATAGTGTGCTTTTTTTCTCTCTTTCAATCTGTCCCTGCAACTAGCCCATCTTCTGTAAGATAATGATGCAAAAGGAACTTTGAATGTGCTCCAAATTTTAGATTGTGTGGGGTCAAAAAAGATTTTATTTTCTCCATCATTTCTATGAAATGATGATAGTCCCGTAAACATAAAGCTGACCAGTTTAAGCTTCTAAGTAAACCGCCACAAAGGTTAATTGAAGTCCAACACAACTGGATTCATAGACAGTAAAGGGCCACTGGGGACTGCGTAAAAATAGCACGGGCTAGCCAGTTTTTGGACTAGTCATTTAAAAATAGGCAGCATTTGCAAAGTTATTGAAAAATAGCCACTATTTTACTGTAACACGGAAAGCTTCTCCATAATATATTGGAGATCGGTGCACCTGTGTATGAACTTCCAGAATATTATGTTGGAACTCCAACACGCGGAAAGTTCCAGTATAATTGTGCTCCAATCTCCGGTATATTATGCTGGACCGATATATTATACTGGAACTCCAGTATAATATTTTTCCGGATTATGAACAGTGTTTTCATTCAAATTTATCTTTATATGAAAAGTGGCTAAATTTCAATTACTTTTAAAATTGTGACTATTTTTGAAATTTGGCTATTTTTGAATTTCTCCCTCCTTACCCGGTGGTAATGGACTACTTGAATGAGAAAATCGGGTACCGAACAAAAGCCCAGTAAGAGAATAAATTAGTCATGTTTGGAGTTTAAAGGTTCTCTTCTTCTTCTTCTCGACACCAATTTCAAAAGCTAAGGTTTAATGATATCTGTCATGTACCAAGTGCCTTAATATACTCTAGTTATTCAGCTGTGTCAATTTGAGGTAGGTAGGATTGCCCTTCATGTTTGCTGATCCGGGAAAAGGTTAAACAGATACCTTGGCATGCTTCCATCACGACAGCATGGCCCATTCAATAGGTCTCTATCTGTCCCGCCTTCACATTTGATTCTGAATTTTCCTCTGATTTTCTTACAAGGGAAGCGAATTTTAATGATTATTATTACATTCTTCAAGGCCACGGGTTTCGCTTCCACTTTTCTTATCAAAATTTTTATGATTATTATTTCATTCAAGCTGGCGGAGAGCTTGATAACTGCTCCAATTTATCAATGCAGCAATGTCATTTCATTCGTTGTCTCAGTCTCATACTAATTATTATTTAAATTTTATTGTATCGTATCGTTAAATTCGTTGTTACGTAACGACAAAAAGTGTCACTTTATTAAACGACCGATTTGGTGAACTCGCGCTGCTACCTTATTCTTTTTCTCTTATCTCGTAACTTACTTTTTATTTTATTTTATAATATTACGAGTTTATTACTCATATTGTTGGAGCATGACATCATGAAATGACGGCAAATAATATTATCTATCCAAATATTGTATAAATGAAAAGTCGCACGAGATTTGGCTATGTGAAGTAGGCCTCACTCGTTCTTTTGCTCCCTGTTACTTTTTTTGGGGCAAACTCTTCAACTCGTTCATACACAGAGAGTTGCTCCTTCCCCACCCAACCCTGATTTGGAAGTACCCTATCTTGAATTGTTAAGTAAGGACTCGTAAGGAGTGTAAGATAGTTTGTTATTCCAGTTGGGAAGTGGGTTGATCCCACATCGGAAGAGAGAAGACAATTTTGAAGCCTTTTAAGCATTTGTTCCTTTTATGATTTGATTTAGGACACATACTTTTTAGTGTGTGCAATTAAGTACACTATATATTTATATATTATAATCAAAGACTTGGACTTGAAATTTGTGCGCGGGCCGGGTCGGATCCTAAAATTAATTATTTTATGTTGTGATAGAAAAATTAAATTTATTTGAATTTTAAATTCAAAATTCGAATAAATAGTTATGTCTGTTATGAAAGGGTCCAACCGAATATGACTGTTTGTGAAACAAGACATCTTTTCTGAAAGGGTATGTTTGTTGCCTATAAATACACAAGAATTTCCAATGAAGTAGTATAGAAAATCACAAGTATTATTTCAGGCTTTGTTGTATCTTTGTTGTATCCTGAAGAGAATCGATTTATATTTCCCTAAATTAGTATACAGGCGATAACTCGACGTTCGATTTTCACACCTCAAAGCCATTTTTGTTTATTATTTTCTAACAAGGAGTTTCAAGTTCTGGTTGCTCTAGTGCATTAATGGTGAAGTACTTCACATGGCAGTGTGCAGTAGAGGCTGGGAAGCCAGCAAGATACTTGTGGGTGGCATGTTTTGTAGGTAAGGAATGGGCATGTACTATTCTGCCTAATCACATGTAATCCTTCTGGCATCCATATCTTCCAAATCATGTTTGGCACAACAATTCAGTTTACTGCAATACTCAACAATTTAAGGCCAAGGAAAACTGCAATTGCCATCATAATAAGTCAACATTCGTTGACATTTACAATGGGGGGGGGGGGGAAGTAAAAAAGAAATAGGCAGCAATAACTTGAATTATGAAGCAAAACCATAAAATAATTACATTATATAGGATGACAGTTTCAGTAATTAAAGCTAAAGATGTTTAACAATAAACCAGAAAATCAACTTTCATCTCTTTCTTTCTTTTTTTGGGTTTCTTTTTCATATTTGTCTGCAATCATTAATACTATGCTTCTGAATGGTCCATATTGAGAGGAGAAGGAAAAAAAAGAAGTCCATTTCCTATCAACCATATTCAAGATATGTAGTTTGCTGATCAAGATTGTAAAGCAAGCTTGGTAGAAGAGAAGGATAAATGATTCCAAGGAGAGAAGGACAACACTTCAACACCTGCTCCATAGATCCTGGAGTTAATTTTCCCGTTGAAGCAGGGCGAGGTTGAACGCTGCTGCACTGGTACATTAGACAGGTGGAACAATGGACAAGGGGATTCAAATGTGCAAAATAAAAATATATTTCTTGCTGGTGATGTTTAGGAAGGGATGCAAAAGGTAGAGAAGGAATTAGAAATGAAGAAAATTGGCTAGATTTCGTGACAGTTTCACTGAACAGGTAAAAGTAATATGTGATTGTGTTCATCACCAAATGTTTAATGTCTTGGACATTAACATTGGCGGCCCCTGCGGCAGGTAAGTGCACCAGCATTTGAGGTAAGAGTGCCAACTAGTGAAGAGGACTTGGCTGCTAAGCTTGATGCCCTAGCATAACTGGCTCCAGCACCACGTCCGGATGGGGTAAAGTAGGCTCCATTAAGCATAAGGTCTCCATCTGATCTCCAGTTCCAACGCTTCCACTCTCCTTCTGATGGTTCCACTCTATGTGTCACCTGCCAACAGGGGCGTACGCAGAAATTTTTGTAAGCGGTGTCGAAATTTATAAAAAAAAACTGAAATATAACTTTGATTGTCATACTTTTAGACAAGAAATAGTCTTAATCTATTGATTTTGTTGAGTCTTAAGCAAATATTTACAAAAGAAAAATGTCTTAGTTGAGGTTTGAACCTTTAACCTCTTATAGAAAAATCAAACACATTACCAACACACAACATACAATTTATGTCAAGTATTGTCAATTTTTTTCTACTTAATAGTTTCCGTACAATATTAATACATATATTTAATAAAAAAAATTGACGAAGCGGTGTCGCGTGACACCGCTCCGATAAGCGTAAATCCGCCCCTGCCTGCCAACCAAATTCCACCCAACTTCAATTACTTCTTTCTAAAATAAGAACATTTCAGTTTTGGATTCTTAGCACCTTCTACTTATGCTAACCTAATTACCATAAAAAAAAAAAAGCAGCAGAAGTTAGAAATTAACTAACCTGTTTGGCAAATGGGTTGGCTGGGGCAAGGTATCTGTTGCCTTGGCTGTTAATTGTAGGAGAAGCACTGCCACCAATAGCATACATCTCCCAGTGTGTATAGTCATTGTTCACCACATGGAAATAACCATGTCTACACCTGCATATCCATCATTTTGCAATACTTTTAGCCTAGGAAGAGATGACAAAAAATGTTTAAGTGGAACAGAACAAATTTTACCACACATGTACCTTGGCATTCTCTGAATGAGACCCTCACCAAAATGGTTGTAGGCAATAGTCACTTGCATAATCTTGTCTCTAACATAGGAGTCGCTGTGACCCAATAGCATCACCTGTTTATTAACCAATAGTTAGTCTTTGACCGAAAACGTGGATCATTTGAATCGACTAGAGTTACTGCACATAGGTAAAAAAATAAAAATTAACCTCATTGTGATGGGTAAAATAATTGTTGGAGATGGTAATTGCAGTTGATCCCATGATAGCATCAATGAGGCCATCAGCACAGTTAGCGAGAGAGTTGTGGTCAACCCAAATGTGGCTGGACCCAAAGATGGAAATGGCATCACCATCAGCCATTGTCCTCCAACCATAGTGACCTGGCGAGCTACGAACCATGGCATTACCAGTTGGTTTACAATCATGAATATTGATGCCATGAATAATGATATTAGTAACAAATTGGACAGTTATGCAAGCCCCATTGGCAATATGAACATTCACACCACGTCCATCAATTGTCTTGAAACTGTTCATTATAAGCTCTTGCTTAAGTGTAATGACCATGTCCCGTTTAAACACAATCCACAATGGTCTGTCCTGAATTACAGCATGACGAAGTGTTCCAGGTCTGGGATTTACGGGGTCATCGTCACCTGGGTCAGTGACAACGTAGTACTTGCCATCGCGGCCACCAATGGCATTGCGTCCAAATCCAATAGCACAATCGGCTAGGCGCTTGCGGTTACGTTGCCAATTGCGGTCACAGCGCCAGCAATCGTCAATAGGATTTCCAGTTCCACATGAGAAAAAACCCAATTTCCTCCTCTCTGTACTATTCCGAATGCTCCTGTGTAATCAAGAATTTGTAATTAAAGCTAAGAAATAGCTACACCTAATACAATGGCTAGTATAACGCCATCCATCAAATAGTTCCAACTTCTTCGTGGCAAAATGGTAAGATTTCTCACTTATTCAATTAGTACAAGTATTTACCAATTTAGTTGGTTAATATAATTCTAGTATATACTTTTTGATAAGCATAAAGGAGTCATGGCGCAACAGTAAAAGTTGGCACCACAGGGCTGTCTTTTTATTTTACTCATTTCGTTCACTTTTACTTGGTATGTATACTAAAAATAGATTTTCGTTTCTACTTGTCACTTTACACATATCAAGAAAAGATAATTTTGTTTTTCCTATTATACCCACAATATTTATTACTCATTTCAAATCATTTTCTCAAATCCAATAAAATATGCATCAATTAATATGGGCATCATGGTAAATTATGCACTTCATTTATTATTTCTTAAGGGGCATGAAAAGTCAAAACATGTCAAGTAAAAGTGAACGGATGGAGTATATACTTTTCGATAAGCAAAGTAGTGAATTATCTATGGGAAGCAAGTAGCAAAATTAAAATTGGCTGATTGGACATGGACAAAAATAGAAATATCTTTTGAGGTCAAGTTAGTTAGCGAAAGTGATAAAAGTGGGTAGAGGAATACGGTCTATACGGAACGGTACTCTTCACGTTTTCCTTGTAAAATAATTAACAAATGTTTAAATAAAACCTATAAGGTGGGCTGATAAATGCATCTAAGTGTCGTTAGGGTAAGTCTTTATTAACAGACAAGTGCCATTTAATATGGGGATGGGGTTATGTCAGTACAGCCAGCTGATGGATCTTGGATTTGCCGGTGTGAGCCCAGATCTGATTGTTTTGGAGCTCATGCCCTTTGACAGGGCCACAAAGTACGGAGCCAACGCCATATTTATGTGGCTTACTATTTGTGGGAATGCACATCCCTCTTGTAAAAATCACTGTGGTTCCTCTTTTGCTACATATGTAATTTGAGTTTGATCTACACATTGGTGCTTTAAGATTAGGTGTGCCATTTAATTAGGCCGTCAGATCCTTTTACTCAAAAGGCCGCACCTTGAACTTATATACATTGATAGAGTAATTTCTTTTAGAAAATAACATATTTTAACTTGTTATAATATGTAATTAAATTGTCTTATTTTCCAGGTTACTAATAAATGACATCTTTTATGGATAGTTACTTGGAATTAATTAATATTGGCAAAAGTCGAAGTGCGGATAAGATAGTGATTTTCAACAAAGGATCTAAATTTTGCAGCTAAAAATGGCTTCAGATGCTAAATTATACTCAAAAGTGGGAAGAGATGCATGGGCCATAAGTTTTCTTGTTTGGGGTGTTCGGCTTAGCCAATCTTTAATGCTTAGTTAAAGGGGGAATTAGTTTGATCTGTCGCCTGGCCACGTGATAAAGCAAATGGGAATGGTTTTTGGCCTGTGATTTCCGTATAAGATGGGCACAAGGGGAGACATTAACACACACATGCATGAGACCTTACATTTTAATAAAAGCATATTTAAGAGAGCAACGTGATAGAAAGTAAGTTAAACCCAAAATCGAACAAACAATGTGCACTGATATGTAAAGCCACCTTCTCTGCTCAACATGGATAACAGGAAAGAAAAAGACATATGAAACTAATCAAAATGTTGCGTGAGGCGCGGATCTGGCAACAAAGAGCATGTGGAAACAAAAAGGAGATACTACAACTTATGACTAACATGGCCTTATGCTAATCAATGATTAAATTCTCCCAAAAGGTATTTCGAGTTCCGTACTAATACCGGATTGGATGCCTAAATATATTTTCACGTTACCCAAAGCAAAAAATTTTAATTTGTCCAAACTGATTTTTCTGATTAATTTAGTAACAGGATTAATTAAACTAATCATGCTCATAAAGGCTGCCATAGGGCGGTTTTGGCGCATTGCATGTGCATTATATTCTTTAAGACAGAGTCATGTTCAGTAATCTCTTTTACTGTCAAAATGAAAGCAGGGATGAATTTGGGAAGGGAGTGCAAGCAGCGGGAATTGGACTGGTGAAAATTAAGTTAGGTGGGAAATGCTGTGTACATTAAAGAGTAACTCATGTGAACGCATTTCATTTTGTGGTATGTACGGATCATGTGAGGGTTGAATTATTTCATATCCTAGTACAGTTCATTAACTGTAAACACATGAATGCTGATAGGAAAATAGAACTTAAAATTTTTGAATATTATACTAGTGATTAAATATTAGCATCTTGATGATAGAGAAAGCAGAGAGAACTTACATGTCTACCATGGAAGCAACCATATCTGGATCATCAACAGCATGTTTTTCATGGTTTGGTACATTTTCTTCGTTTAACCTGTAATGATTAAACAAATTGAATGACGTTTAGGACTTGGATGAATCTACATTGACAATCACAACTTGGACTGAGGGAATTTAATTCTTCTAAAGCTCTTCTGATATATAGTTTTGTTTCTATACACATTGAAAAAAGAAAATTCATACGTGGAAGAAGTACACAGATAATGAATTTTAGCGCCTAATGTGGCGGTGGAGCAGAACATTTATGGTGCGCAATTATTGTCCTATGGAATTTGGAGTCACTGGACGAACGGGCTTGAGTCTTAACGGAGTTATTGAACCAAAATTTTCCAGATCCAATCTATGCGAGCGATCAATATCGCGTTTTAGATTCTAGAATGCGGATTGATTTTTAACTGATTCTACATGCACCAGTATAGTGTACGAAGAGAATATGAAATGGTATGTGACAGCTAAAAAGAAAATATCGAAAATCTACCTGTTCGCCATTGTCGAGATGTTTAAGCTCTGAAATTGCTTTGCTTCTTCAGGACTGCAATTGAAACGAAAATCGAAATCCAATGAGCAAATAGTAATTAGTGGAGTTTAGCTCCTTAATTGTTTCTATTCATAAGAACTAGTTGAGAAACAGAAATCGAGTCGTTAAAGAGCAGATGAGAGTATTCAGCACACTCAAATTCAGAAATTATCTAGCAAATGCAGAACTTCCTCAGGTGGAATTTCAATAAAAAACGAAATCAATTCATTTGCTTTGACATTACCGAAAATGAGCTTCTGAAACAATGAAACCACCTCAATTACCTGGTACTGGCAGTGACATTATTGATGGCTAGCATTATCACAACTAGCAATGATAGACATGATCTCCAAGAGACCGCCATTGGAGAAATATCTCAAAAATTCTGAGTCTCCAAAAGCAGTACAATGTATGTGATTCTCTTTCAGAAAATTGAAGGAAATGGTGGAGGAAATTGAGCCCGAGATAAAGCTTCAATGGAGGAAACCTTTTTATAGGAGAAATAAGAAGAGAGAGATAAATAGCGGGAGGTGCTGTGGTTGCCTAACTTTGACATTGTTCATTATACTTAACCCGGGTTTACTATCTATGATTGGGGTTAGGTTAAATTCAACTAAAACTGCTTATTAAAGCGTTTTGCTTTCAAAATAAACAGAGAAATAGGAATTGCCTAATTTCTTGCTGTCTTGTTAACATTTGAACTAATGTTACTATTAGGATTTAATTTGTGAATTACTGACTATCCAACTGTCTTTTTGAAAATTAGACAAATGAATTCACTTATTCCCATACTCTAAGAGAAAAAAATTAGTATAAAGCTGACAATTTAAATTTTTTTATTTATAATGAGCAGTTATTTCTATTAATTTTTCGAGAGAAAGTGGGCGTGGCTCCATGGAGGACAAGATGCGGGAAGCAAGACTCAGATGGTTCGGGCACATCCAAAGGAGGAGCATTGATGCACCGGTGAGGAGGTGTGAGCGACTGGCTGTGGTGGGCACGAGGAGAGATAGAGGGAGACCTAAGAAGTATTGGGGAGAGGTGATCAGGCAGGACATAGCGCGACTTAGGATTACTGAGGACATGACCCTTGACAGAGAATTGTGGAGGTCGAGCATTAATGTTGTAGGTTAGGGGAAAGTTGTGAATATTTCTACAGCGCACTAGAGTGTGACTAGCCAGTTAGGAGTTAGTCTTAGGATGCTACTGGTCAGCTACTGATGCAGGACTTTATCTGCTAAATATTATTATACCTTCCATCTTTTTCGTATTTCCTATATTTCTTATATTGATGTTATTTTGTTATTTTATGTTATTTTACTATGAGTTTATTGATAGTACTAATATATCGTCTCTTGTTGCTTTCTTGGGCAGAGGGTCTCCTGGAAACAACCTCTCTGCCCCTCGGGATATGGGTAAGGTCTGCGTACATATTATCCTCCCAGACCCCACTTGTGAGATTATACTGGGACGTTGTTATTGTTGTTATTGTTGTTGCTGCTATTATTTCTATTAATTTTTGTAGGTGATGATAATGTAGAATTTGGTATGCTATCAGTGTATAGAAATTGAAGAATTAGCAATATATAGTATTTTATTTTTTCATCCACTTCAATATCCATTTCGTACTAATAAAAATAAAATCAGTGGTTATAGTGATTTAAGTTAAAACAACCCACTTAACACCTTATACCTAACTAAACTGCCACTGACTCACACAGACTTCGTTTCTCTATATAATTCCACTTCGTTTTCAGTTATCGCTCACTCGTGCCAACCTGCGTCGGTTACTCACGTGCCACACTCTTTAATAGTTCCGTTTCCCTTCTCTTCCTCTGTCTGAAAATTAAATTCAACCACCCACAAACGTTTTTAGCTGAATTTATTCACCGCATATGTAGGGACCACATTTTTCCACCTCAGCATTTTATTTACTTAAACTACTTCACTCGCGGAGGACGGTGCTGTTCTGTACTCGCTTAAATACGTGTGACACGTTTCCACGTGGGAGGTGTTGACGAACGACTTAAATTTCGCAGAACCCGTACGGCATTGTCTCTGCTATTGATTCCTTGACTTTCAAATTTCTAGGCCAATTGACACGTGTCGGTTGCGTAGGGTTTTGCAAGAGATTGCCAGCCCCCTACGTAACCAGTTTTTCCGGTGAATGTCCGTACGCAAAATAGCAATTCTGGAAAAAAAAGTTTGTTTTTTTCGTTAATCATGATTAGGGAATAGGATTAGCTGGATTTTTGTTCTTGTTGTTGATAATACGATCGTGAAGCATAAGATTTCAAGGCTTTCATCAGAGGTAACCTGAGCTGCTGAGTTGTAATCGATTGCTTTAGGTCATCTGGGAATTTCATCTCTTTAGTTCATCCCCAATGCGGGCAATGCCGACTCCAGTCTTGCACTACTTGTGTCTCATTGTCATTGTCAGTTGCGAAGCCACACAGCTTTAATCGGGTCAACTAATACGTCTTCGCTGAAAATATATATTGTTTAAATAAATAAAAATTATTTATTTTAGTATATATACTATTTATTGAATCTCCTAATTAACTTCTTTATGCATTTATTTTTTAAAATTTCTACTCAAAATTCTTATTCTACTATTTTGGTCATTGTCATCTTCTTATTTATATACTCCTCTATAATAATGTAGAGAAGTGATAGTACTAAATTACTAATATGTACCTTCATAAATGATCCCCACGGTGAGTTGGTTGTATATGCTCTGCTTTGAAACTAAGCAGAAAAAAATATGCAAAAATTAAAAAGATTTATGTCTTCTCTTCAGCAAAATGAAGAGCCAAAAAAAAAAAAAGAAGGAAAAACTAAAACATGACTTGGAAAAAAGAAAGAAAAAGAATTCCGTACTTCTCTCTCTCTATTTTCTTTTCCAACAGAGTGATGACCGACCAGGAAAGAGGAGCTCCAAATAAGAGAAAGCAACATTGTGCCACCTCTAAACTAAAAGCTACTTCTCCAATTTCAATCATTAAATGGAACTCTAGCCATGAATCGTGGACATCCAAAACTAAATTCGACTGATCTCTTAATTCATAATCGTACCAAAATAAGTTTAATTTCCTTGTTAAAACGCTTTACAGAAAACATTTGTTCCATAATTCATAGCACCAAACATATACAAAAGAAATATAAACAATCAGATGCTCTTGGCCAATTTGAGACTGAGTTTATAAAATAAAAAATATGCTACTTTTCTCCTCTCTTTTTTACGTAAACAGTTTAGTTGGACATTAAAAGAAAATCAGTTAGGAAATCTAACCATTTCTTATTTTAAATGTAATAACCGGACTAATTTGGATATTTGTCATATATATAACATTAAAGGGGGCAAAAAAGAAGGTAAAAACTTATAAGCATCACTCGGTTGTGTCAACCAAACCAAGCAATTTAACTTTAACAGTTAAAAATTAAAGCTGAAAAGTACTTTACTTAGTTAGTCGTAACTAAGTGAAAAATGTGTGTGTATAAAAACACATATCATGCATTAATATATATTAATGATTTGACGTAAACATCTATATATATATATATATATATATATATATATATANAAAAAGAAGGAAATTAAAAAGGTGATTTGGCACCTCTCTATGTCCAAGGATCCTATTTATCGTTTTTCTCCTTTTTTTTATATATTTCCCTATTATGCTATGTAAAAATTATAAGTTCAACAATTATTACTCCAAACGTTTCATAGGCACCTATTCATCAACTGATACTATTCCTATTTATTACTCCAAACGTTTCAAGATTACTAAAGCACCGATTCTATTCATGATCGAATTCTATTCATATTCCCCACTAATGACCCCTAACACTCTCATTTATGACCAAAAAAAATAATAGTAAAGAGAGTCTTATAGCTTTGGGATTTCACCATGAATGAGAAAGCAACAATTAAAATGTTAAAATATGACTATTCATCACTTTAGTTCCTTTTTTTAGTACTATATATATTAATTAGAATATTTTTTTTCTTGATGTTAATTCAGTTGTTGCTCTCCCATTCTTTCCGGCTACAAAATACATATACGTTATGTCACCCAAACGTAGAAAAGGATCTGAATATGGCAATAGTTCCAATAATAATAGAGAACAAAATTCGGTGCTTGAGAATTTGAATATGGCAATAATTCCAGGCCATTGTATGTTTTTATCTACTTTTTCTTAAGCATGTCATTTGTTCTTATTTCTCTTTATTTTTTCTCTTTCCAGTAAATCTATAGCTTTATGCTTATTAGCATGTTAGTTCTACGTTTTATTATTATAATTTAAAATCTCATTTTCTAGGTAGAAACAATTGCTTTAAGCTGAATGCGGGGTTTGATATTAATACCTTCATTTTCATTTGGAGACACCAATAAGTAAGAGGTATAAAGAACATATCGCCGTACAACTTCATCATCACACCATCCCCTCTTTGTTCAATTTGCGAACTCTATCGTTTGGATAAGAATAACTTTCTAGGAATCCATACCGTTAGGCTCTTCAAGTTTTCTAAGTAATTTCCTTAAAACAAAGTCAAGTTCATTTCACAAATAAGGTTGACTAACGACTTTACTAAGTATATACAAGAACCAAATTAGCACTTATTTATAATTATTTGTTTTTAAAAAATTAAAATCATTTAAGCCGTGATAATCATTTTATTCATAAAATATAATATATTGTCCGATTTAGATGAATGACAATGCAAAATATTGTTCATTTAATTACCTCATTTTCTTTCCATACATCATAAGTATCAAGTAATGAAAAACAATTGTGTGCTGCAAATATTTTTCTTGAAATTAGGTTACGCTTATTGATATAAATAATAAGTTATTGTGCTTGACATGTATAGAAAAATAGAGAAAACTGACACTTGAATATTTTAGAAAGAGCAATTAATCTCGAGAAGGCATTTCTAATATAACGATTTATATTTTTGGTTTGTATGATTATAAAATTATGTGTCTATTTACAAAATTTATTTCATATTCATATACATAACTCTTTTAATCTCTTATATTTCTACCAAAATTATGAAAAAATAATTTTATGTATTCATTATTATATTTTTTTGACTAGTAAGATTTATAAGATTGACGATACAATCACCCCACCATTAAATCTGATACCTACTACCCACTTTCTTTTTATTTTGTCTCTACACTAGTTAACTTTCCAATGAAACATTGGGTGATCAGTAAACTGTAGTTTTCTCAGTTTTAATTTTTAACGAGTGTAAAAATACATTATTTATACAAAATATGTCAGTACTTGAAAATTTCAAGTTCAACCTTTGAAAAAGTTGAAGAATATATTTGTATTCTCTTCACAGTTCCTTATTAAAGGGAAAGGATGGTGAAGGAGACAGAGAACAATCTACCCATCCATAAAAAAGTTTCACGATTTCGCCAATAATTGTTTTCATTATGAATATCGACATATTCAGTATTCGTCAACTGGA